GTTGCCGCCTCCCTCGGGAAGGAGGAAAGAAATCGGGCTCATCTTTCTCTCTCTCTCTCTATAATAGATCACGACTTTTCGCTTGGGCAAGGCGGACACGTGGCTTAATGAGAAAGGTCGGGGATGGAACGTCTCTCGCGAGATAGATTCGCGATGTAGGTAGGTAGATAGGTAGGTAGGTACGTTAAAACGTTGCAGCGACGTGGTACACAGAGTGTAACAGAGTGAGTCGCAATTAAGTCGCGTCTTGTAGAAGTTAAACGGTGCCATTGCCCCGCAATGAAAGTCGGAGATTTTGTTTTTTTTCTTTTTCTAAATTGACTAAAACACCAAACGCACGGTTTCGTGTAAAACGTAACGTAAGCGGGATGACGTTAAAAACAAACGTACCAGGGTGTAAAATCACTCTTTCAACACCGATACTATAATAAAGCAGTTAGCAACTAATAAAGTGCTGCTTAACATCGAGTCGTAACCGGGCGTTATTACTCGCACGCGAATGTAATCCCCGCGATGTGTTCAACCGGGTTATTGGCCGCTGTACATATAACGAGGTGCAATCTTAATCTCGGAGTCTCGCTCACCGGCTCCTAAGCGTTTGACCCTGTTAATGACACCGACACGATATTATTGAAGGCCTCGCGCTGCTGTCGACCTGTCTAGCGTTAAATTGCGTTCTCGTACGAACACGGGGGAGGTGGCGCGTCGACGCAAATTGAAGCCGTAACTGTTTTTTTTTTAAGTCCTCTTACATCGATCGATCAAATTCTACTGTCGATTGCATTACCTGTCGAATTTGTTGCGCTCGATATTCGTTGATTAGAACGTTCCGTTCGTCGTGTCGGCCGCACGATAGAAATCCCTCCGTAGGGAATATACACACATAGAGAATACGAACTCTGCGAACAGAGTCGTTGGTGCAACCTGAGGTCTCTCTCCTCGCAAGTCGAGTCCCTCTTGCGTAACAAAGGGCTCTCTATTATCGCGTCGCATCTCTTCGCGCCGATCTCGTCATTACGTTCCGCACGAAGACAACACGATGACGAGGATGTTTTTCGACGACGGATGTGTGTGTGTGTGTGTGTGTGAAAAAGAGATAATCGTCTTTCGTTTCGTATTTCGATACGAAATTTTGTCGGTCAGCTGTAACACACGCTGTGTGATCACCTTGTGTATTTTTTTTAAATATTTTTTTCTCCTACCAGAAAAAGCGCGTGTAAATAATCACAATCGATTCTCTCGTTAGTGATTGTTGCCACATTTATCTCGACGAGCTGATTGGACGTTTCTCGATTCAATGTCGTGACGAATCAAGAGGCAACGGTAGTGTCTCTTATACGCGAAATTCGCATTTTATGGTTTGTATCACATATATACTAGCTGTCATTGCGGTGACAGGTTGTGTTCACTGACACAACACGTTAAAATAAAAACAACGATAGCGTGCGCGCCTGTGTTGTCCTAGTATTAACAAGTTGCAAAATAAAAATTGAACAACGTTAAAGTTAGTTTACTTAGCGTTTAGTTAGCTTACTTAAACTTTTCTGGAAAAAAAAAAAATCTTACGCTATATAAATGCACGACGCGCGGCTCGATCCATATAACACGATCTAAAGTTTCCGACACCTGCGCGGCTAGAAGTGTATTTGTAAACCCAAAATTCACGGTAACACGACCGAGAGGCAGCTGCGACCGACAGGTGGAAGGTTCGATCGCAAGTCGAAAATTTACGCAAGAAGCTGCCCGACCGACTTCCACTCGCTAGATTCCTCACAGATGCGTCCGTTGAATAAAAAGCGCGATGAGATCCAAGCTGATATATTTTAAGAATTCACACACCTGTCGATTCATTAGAGAAGATTGTCGTCGAGTCTCATTACGGGGGAGATTTTCCAGAATCTCCGATTCTACGTGGCGCGCGTAAAATTTATTTGTAGATCGGACGTGAATTGCGCGCGCAATCGCGCGTGCATAATATTGCCTTACCGTAGACGCGGAAGAAACGCTGTCTGACGTAAGAAGTTTTACGCTAATGACCGTCTTAATAATCCTGGAAATAAATAAATACAACGGTGGGGGGAGACGCGACGAGCTCCCGATGGCGATTAGCGCGAAATGAAATGGCCGATGGTCCCTCGTCTCTTCTCTGTCGGCGAAATTATATCGGAGATGCATCTTATATATATATATATATACTCGCGGCGTGCGCGGTTTTCTTCGCGCGGCGGTTTTGATTGCTTCGTCGAACGATGAACAACGAAGAAGAGAAAGAGATATACCTCCCGGAGAAATAGAGAGAGAGAGAGAGAGAGGCTCGAGTAGCGAAAGGAGCGCAGAAAACCGTCTGTTCGACGAACGAGAGATCGTAATAATAATCGGCGGTTACTCTCCGCCGGGTCTCTTCCCATCCGCCGCAGCGGCGTGCTAATCTCCAGGTGCGATGGGGCATTAGCGACGCTATTGCGATAATAATACCGTCGCCGCCGCCACCGCCGCCGTCGTCGTCGTCGTCGTCGTCGTCGTCGTTGTCAACATTGCGAATGGCGGGATTTACAGTTGCGCCATTAGGCGGCGGCGAGATTGCGAGCTCTACCTTCTCTTTTCCCCGGAACGATTTCCTTATCCGTTCACGACACGATATTTCGATTTGCCACGGCTTATCATTCGCGCGTCGATGCGTCGATGATTTTTTTTTTTTTTTTTTCACAAAAGGCCGCCGCCGTTCCCTCATCTCTTTTCGCGACGAGTTTGACGACGCTCAAGGCCGTCGCCGCTTAATCTCCGATTATCTTCTCGTGCGAGAGAAGAGTCCGTCCGTGTGTGTGTATCACGCGCGCCGTAACGGTTCTCGGACGTGTTTTCCCGAGCGCGCGTTTTCACCACATAGAAAACTGGAATAGATAAATTTTGACGAGCTCTCTCGCGGCGCGCAAAATCGACACGATAAGAAAATATCGCGATTATATATCCGTTGTGTCGTTTTTTTTTTTGCGTTTTGCTCGCTTGAGAATTCTATTCTAATTTGCATTCCCGTTGACATCAAATCGCTCGAGAGTCGCTGGAATCAACGAAGACGAATGCGTGTTTCCTTTCGGAGAAACGGGTGGGTGGGGAAGAACGACGGGGGACGGAGATTCCCGCAGTGGCGACGTCTGTCAGTTAGATCGGATCGCTAATTGAGCGGAGGGACAGTCGAAATCGCGCGATCATTAAAAATCCCCACGCGCGACTCCCGCGCGCGTTCGCAGATAACGCGTGCGATCGTAGAACCGGCTGCGTCACGGCACGTGTCTTTCTCGTCTTTGTCCGCGCAGGACGTTCACCACGAAGCGAGAGACACGTCAAGGATATAGACCCGCACTCCATAACAGCCTGTAATTAGAACATAGATAACAACTCGATCCGACAGAGAACGCTTCACTCGTGATATCACACTCGCTCTCTCAGTCGCGTTCGCGTTTGCCAACCTACATACCGAGACGCATCGAGCAGCGGTTCTCACCTGCGACTTATATCGTCGCCTCGTCTGTGCCTTTTAACATCGCCTTTAACATTGAGATTCTTATAGCGAAAAAAAAAACATGTTTAAATTACAGATAGTTTACGGTCTCTATAAAATTTGAAAAATCTATTGCGAAAAACAAATACCTCTTGATTAAAAGGTGTAACAAAATAATTTCAGATCAGAAAAATAAATATAAATTACATCATATTTTACATTTATTTTTCCGATCAGAAATTATTTTATTCGACTTCCGCACAAGGATTTTTTCCGCAAAGATCGGCGCGAGTTATTTCCAATCCTGAAAAAAATACACGTCCTTTCAACAATCGCTATCAAGCACAATTCTCGCAAGTACATCACTCGCGCCGTCATTCGAGCAAAGGCGTCGTGAAACGGAGAGAAATACTGACGCGCACATTTCCACCTCATTCCCGTAGTGAGAATCGCATCCTCTTCGTGGGATACCGCCGTGTGGACAATGGCCACTAATGATGCTTACTTTGACTCCTGTCGGGCGGTCCTCTCCCGAGCCATCTATCTCTCGATCTCGCCGGATATGTACGACTATCTTTCACCCGGGAGATTTCGTTCGAAACCGTCGTCTTTACAGCGGACCACCTCGAAAAAACAATTTTCTCCCTTGCGCGCGTTGTGTTTTTTTTTTTTTTCTATCTGTCTTTCAAATACTTTTCCATCCTCGAGCTAATAATGGACAATTTCTACCTTCGCGAACGCGTGTGTTGATTCTCGATAAGCATCGGTTTCCCTTTTGCTCGCTCCGTTCGTCAATCATCAATGAGATTCTCTCTTGGCGTTACGCGTGCTGTTGTATCGAAGAGACCCTTCGCGGGTTACAAACAAAACTCGGACTCCGCAACATATTTCGAGAAGCCACAAACATCGATGGACTTTGGAGTAGACGAAGAGGCGCGGAGCATCGCGTTCCATTAACGGCGCAAAGCTCGCGGAGCGTTTTCTCGCGAACGAGAGCAAGCTCTTTACGTAATGAAACGCACGCGCGTGCTTTCACCGACGTTGCTCGAATTTAGGATCTCCCGCGGATTTATCTTCCTGCGAGAGGTGCATTACCCGAGCGCGCGCGCGCGAGTTCGCTTTCTAGCAGGTATTTTAGATCGTCGGATTACGGCTCGCTCGCTCGCTCGCGGTGGAATGTCGAGCGTTTCCTTGACCACCGGCGTGTTCTTCTCGCGTTAACGCGTGAATACCGCGTTTTTTTCTTCCTCAAGTTTCTTCGATTAAATCGCGATGAGAAATTTTGTTACTCGCGCGCGAATCGAGAGTCGAACCGCGCGTACGTCTTCGATGAAATTGCGCGACCTCGTGATGAAGAAAGAAAAAAAGAAACAAAAGACGGACTCGCACGCGAGTGTCTTCTTCTGTGACATAATGGCCGCGCGTCTGCTAAAGACAATAATTTGAGGCACGCGTGGTTCGCGCGAATCGCATAACTCAACCGCGTAACTCCTCTTGCACAATGCGAACGTTATGCGGCATCGATAACGGTTATTATTACGTTCGGTTTGTTATCATTACAAACCGCGCGAGAGAGGATATCGTTTCATTAAACACATCCATTCCGTCGTTGCACGTTGCATTCTCTCGGTGATTCAACCTCCGCGCGTTCCATATTACAAGGTAGCGTACAGATATATATATATAGGTAGTGTATATACCTATATATCTAACGCGCGCGCGCGGCGTAGTACATGTAGGACGCTTCTCTCCGCATAATTGGAAAGGTTTCGCAATCAAATCGCGAGAGAGGATTCAATATCGCAATCAATTGCAATCTCCGTTGCATTACGCGGAAGTGTTCAATTCCGCGATTCAATCTCTCGGAATTTCAATTCGCGGTTGCAATTTGTCATCTGGTTGCCGCGCTATGGCGTTCGCCACCCGGAAAAAGTTGCGCGATACATTATGCGAGCATAAAACTTGCTCGTATACTTCGCGGCCGTCTTCGCGCGCGCGGAATTGGCGCGTAAAACTCGGACGTGCGGCGGTCGGTCGGTCGGTCGGTCTGTCGGTCGGTCATCATCCGAGGAATACATATCGACGCGCAACAACGCGGAGGTTGATTGCGACTTTTCCGCGACGAAAATCACCGCGTTCTCCGTAATCGGGAAAGCACATAAGAGAGGAAACGCGAGAGAGGCGCGTTATTAAATAGTGGAAAAAGTGAAAGCGACCGATCGTTTTTTTTTTTTTTTTTTTTTTTTTTGCGGCGCCGCATGACTTCCTCCTTGTGTGTGGTATTCACTTACGCGTTCGAACTTCTTTCTGACGTCACAGTTGTTTAGATACAAATTGCGGCAATCAAGCGACAGCGCGCGCGCGGATACGCGTCAATCGCGCGATTACGCTTAAAAGTTATGAAATTCAGTCATTCCCTCGGTGAAACGTCCGAGCTTTGCGCAATCGTCTTTTTTTTTTTTTTTTTTACCGAACCATCTGGACAAAAGCGGTCGCTCTCATTGTGTCAGAATGAAAATTACACTTTGCTTGAACGCAATTAATTGCGAGATTTATGACGTGTGTCTCGTCTTGTTTCAGTGGCAAATACGCGACGGTGAGGAGATGCCGCGAGAGATCCAGCGGCAGGCAGTGGGCCGCCAAGTTTCTGAGGAAGCGTCGACGAGCGCAGGAGCTCAGAGCGGAAGCGCTACACGAGGTCGCAGTGCTGGATGCCGCGGCCCATTGTTCTCGCCTTGTCTCCCTTCATCAAGTCTTCGAGACCAATACCGAGATGGTTCTCGTCCTTGAGCTGTAAGTAACGAGAGTAAACGTTCTTCGCGTCCACACACCTGTTGATCGACCTTTTTGGAAAAAATTCGATAAAACTATCTTACGCACTCTTATCGATCAACGCGGCGAACGAATATCGTATTTCAAATCGGATTTCAATTCGAATCGCGCGATGAAGGAACGAAATATATAAAACTGAATGGCGAAGAGAGCCGCCGCGCGTGACTGTACGACGGCGTGGCGTGCCAACTTTCTATAACGTGTCGTAATAGTTGCTAATTATTTAAAAAGTAGGACGGCTAAACGTAAAAAAACCTCGCGATTTGAACGTACGCGCATCGCGTGCGCAGGTCAATCATTGTAAAATTACGTTGCATTGATTCGTCTCGACGTAACGTGATGTGAATTTTGTTTGAGTAAAGTTTTACAAAGCGCGCGGATAAGAGAGACGCGGCGCGAGAAAAAATTATGTACGCGTGTTAAATGTAAAATATATATATATATATATATATATATAATGTATGTATAATTGTGCAAGAACGCGCGAGACAGGTTAAATGTTTATTGCGACAGGGCTCCTGGTGGCGAGTTACAAATGATACTCGACCGAGACGAAGTTCCAGAGGAACGTCAGGTCGCGAGATTGTTGAGGCAGATTTTGGACGGGATCGCCTTTCTGCATTCCCTCAACGTAGCTCACCTCGACATCAAGGTAAGTCCACAAACGTTTATATGGTAAAGACGGATCTAAGAACGGCTGTGAGTGAAAACAAAGCATGTAAATAACACAGTTTAACGCGTCGGATCATTGAACTTGACAAAATATTATTAAATATTTATTATTAAATTATCTTTTTCAAAAATATTTTTATACTCAATGACCCAATAATGACCGAATAAACAAAAACTTTTCTGGAAACATGCATTTAAAACAACATTCAAATCCACAATTTAGGTCGCGCTTGCAACGTATTTAATTGGTCAACTATGGTCAGCGGATAGTTTACGGTCAATAATACGGTCGGTGCACTCTAGAGTATAACATTCTCCAGTTGCGATATTAAAAGTTTATTGTCTCGCTGTGTAGACTTTTCGTCTTCAAAAACACACACGCGCGCACGTATGTAGATTTTTTGACCGAAATACACTCGGCGCTTTATTGCTCGTAATAATGTTATGGTTTTATAGACGGGACTATAAATTTCACGTGTGGTGGCACTTATTTTTTTACGACTCGCGTACATTAAAGCGAGTAAAAAAAAAAAAAAAAACCCCTCGGAAACGCGAGCAAAACTTGACACAATTCGCTTCCTTCGGAACGTATCTCCAGACGTTAAAAATAACAAGCGAGAGGCGCGATAACGAAAAGAAGATTGTCGCACTTGTAAATAATTCTTATCTCTCGGGACTTTCCCCGTGCGCCGTTTCTAGAGATGCGCGCACAAAGGAAACGGGAACTCACCTGAGAGACGTATCTCGCACGTTTTAAAACGAATTTTATTCCGCTCGAGGTAATAATGAAGTATATCGCGATGAATTTTAGCGATTTGTTTTTTTTTTTCTTGTAGTCGCGCTCCTCGCGCGTGTGACTAATAATATTAGTTTTTTTGATAACGGTATTGCGCGTCGTACGAACGTTTTCGACGTGCGATTTTCAATCTTATCGAAATAAATATTACGCGATAAAAAAAAAAAAAACAATAATTGCCACATGAGAAAAAGAAGCGTTCGCGAATGATCGGTTCACGGCGCGAGATCAAATCAGCGATCGTGAGAGAATAATTGTGCAATATTTTTCTTTATTATCTCGAGAGATCAACAGCCGAATCTCTCTGGGACGAACGGTGCACTCTCGAACAAATAGCCGCGGGAACGAAACTTTCTGGCAAGGGATAGCGACGACATTTCGGGCGCCTCTGGCAAATTCTCAGCTACACGGGGGCTACATACGCGCGTTCCGTGCCGCGATCCGCACAATCGACCTAAATCGTTATGTAAACGCCTACGTGCGCGGCGGTGTCCTCTTGCCAAAAAGCTGATTAGGGACGATCTCTATGCGCACCGACGGTGCCGCTCACACACCTTGCGTATGTGGCGGCACGTTCCAACAGACGTTATAAATTTTCTCGCTCGATCTCCCGCGAGCGAAGTTGAGAATTTGTTCGAAAGTCACGTTTGTCACGCTACATCTTTTCTTCCAAAAACCTAAAGAAATAATTGCTCTTGAATCAAAACGTGTTTAGAAACTAGAAAAGAAAATATATTCCAATGTGACAGATGTTTTTTTATGCAAAATGTACATTCAATTTATTTAAACATGTAAATTGTTACAATCGCGATCGCGGGGGGGGGGGTACGTTTAATCTAGGAAACATATGTATTTTTGTTTCGTGCTCGACGCAATAAGTTACGTACGTAGATGCGCTATCGGATAAATATGTTGGACGTGTTAATACGCTGCGAGTTAGCGATCAGATAACTGTGTTGTTTCTTTTAACGACAACGTGTAATCGTTGGATATGCAGATATATGCACATTTTTCCATGCGCTTATATTTTCGCACGTGCGCCGTCCGTGCAAAACACGATCGGATTCGAAGAGCGCGAATCGTTCTTGCGTTACCGCGCGCGCGCGTCGTTATGTCACCTGACACTTCGCGCGCTGAAAGAAATGAAAATAGATCGCGGACGCCCGCGTATCGAAAGCGCGGGCGCCTCTCCTCGATGATTCATCTTAATCCCACACACGCCTCTCTATCTCTCTTTCTCGATGGTTTCTAAAAGCCATACTCACGTTCTAAAACGTGTCACTTCTTTCTCGCGGGGAGGGTGTCGGCGCCGCTTTTTTTCGGAAGTAGATCGGCGGCGGCGCGCGCGGTCTACTAGAAAAAAAAAAAAAAAAAAAATTTCGAAATGAATAACACGCACGCGCGAACACGTGCGCGGCCTACGAAACGATGCGGCGTTCGGAACAGCGCATGACGATGGAATGCCGACGAAAACGGGCGCCAATGGGATGTTTCTGTCTCACACGAAAATATATTTCTGTACCCGACTCATCTGGCCAGAGGGGTGAAGAGGAGTACGCGCGGTTACGGAAATAATCCCTCGTAACTTTCGTCGCACGTTCTTGCCTCGAAAACAATATGGTGGCGTTTCGCATCTACAACTCTCCTACCGGGATATCCTCGCGCGCCGCGCGCACAATTCTTTCGTGAGACTAAAAATAATTCTCCCCGAGTGCGCAAAGAGAAGCGCGCGTTCGAGGGACGCGCGATGTTTCATAAAAGTCACGTAATATCGACCCAGCAACTCACCAGTAAATCTCCTGCGGGCGGATTTGGGATCCACCGAAAATAATCCGCCGGGGATTCGACGCGACGCCGCGGATTCGTCCGAGGTGAAAAGATCCGTGAAAAAACAAAAAAATGCAATTGAATCCGGACGATTCTCTCCTAAAAATAAATTGTTTACCACGCGTGCGGGCGGAGAGAGTTGCGGCAATGACGATCGGGATTAAATCGCTTTTTAACTTTCGTCATTTTATATTGTGCGTCGTTCGACGTGTGCGGCGACAAGAGAGAGAAAAAAAAGGACGCGACGATATAATTCCGTCTCGATTGGCGAGAAGCGATTCGGGTCGCGAGCGAGGCGCCTCGAAGTCGACGATGCAACTTGGGAAGAGAGCGAGAGCTTTTGTGCGCGACGATGCGCCAAGAGAGTGACAACCAGTCTTGCCTATTTGGCGGCCAAGATTTGCAATTTGCGATTTGCACACCGCACTAAGCGCGTAGGTATATTACGAGGTAGGTACGTGTGTTTATCGATTATCGGCGTGATCGATATGGGTGAGCCAAGGTAAGCGAGTTGTATTAATAATGTTCCGCGGGCGACACGTACAGGGCTTCTCGCGTTTTAGCCTTCCATATCTCTCTTTCTCTCTTTTTCTCGATGCACGCTTCAGGTATCTCCGCCGCTTGTAACGCGACTCGCATAATAATGCGACGTGCGGTGTGGTTATACAACCTAATTATTTGTCTTTCGCGCGAATTCGCGGCTTTAATCGGTTAATTCATCATTAATACGTAAATACCCACAGGGGTCGCGTTTCACAAAGTTATTCGACGTCTCTTCGCTGAGATTTATCGACGTGTAATTATTACGTGTCGTGACGGAATGCGTCATTAATTATTGTGTTACGCTATATCTTTTTATGTTATAAAGTTGCCGCGGCGCATAATCGCGCAACGTTCGTCGAACGACCTCCGAGCCTCTTATCGATCCTGTTCCAGAGATAGATAGATGAAGAGAGAAAAAGCGTGATAAAGCGCGATGCGATTACGCATCCGCGCACGTTATCCGCGCGCGATATCACGATGTTTTCCTCGGTGCCGATAAGATAATTTTGTTCACGCTTGCGAAAACGATAGGCCCGCGACGCAATTTCAGCCGCGTAAAGACTCGTCATTACAAACAATTCCGCGCGGACTTTATCACGCCACGTGTGGGCTTTTCGCGCAAAGTCGCGCCCACATGCAAAGATACACGCTCGTGCGAAACGCGCGCGCAAGCGATGTGCGGATCGTTAGCCCGCGTCGGAGTTCTAACGGGCGGAAACTAACCAGCTCGAACGGGAATATTGCTATTTCCTTGGGCGGCAGGTTCTCTTCTAGATCTCAGCAGCGGTGAATCATCAGTTATTCAGAAGATATGCTCCGGCGGCGTTTTCGATTCATTGACCCGCGGCAAGTTTATTTTTTCGCGCGCGGCGGCGGCCATTCAGGAACACCGCCGGGGAAAAATAATCGTTCGACAGCCGATGCGGCCCTGAAAGCCGGCCGAGATAAATATCAGAAACTTCGACGTTTGCATTTTGCAAAAATATACGTCACGTCTCCGACTGGCCGAGAGTCGCTTTTGTTTCGTATATTGACGCGCCGCATCAAAGCGAAATTCTTTCAAACAACACGCAAGCCGCTATACATTGACGATATATATGACAAATATACAACAGGATGTATGGGCAGCTTTTACGAATGAAGCTTCGACGTGATATTTATCCTCGTTTATCGTCTGCGCAGCCGTTTCTTGTTTTGCAAGTCGAAACGTTGTTTCGCGGAATTTTCATGCAAAAATGCGAGGCGTTTTCGAGACGCATTTCGGATGTTACGAAATACGCGATGTTTTTTAAATAATATTTGAATTATGTTTCAGCAACAATCGCTCATGAATGTCGCTCGGTGACCCGCAAGATAAAAGTTTCCATCAGTATTTGACGCTGCATTAAAAAAAAAAAAGAACAAGTTGATAATTTCGCGCGCGCTTGGGTGACTGCATAATAACGCGCGAGCCCCGACCGAGAAAGGCAATTGGCCGGCGAATAGGTTAACGAGCGCATTCGGGGGTTCACGGGCTAAAAATAACGTCGTGCCACGAATTCGCGCGATATGCCGCGGCCAAATATAGATTTCGCGGTTATGAATGGAAAAATGCACACGCTAGAATTCCTTGGCCCGCGTCCAAGGGAGCCTTCTTGGCGGGCGGCCACGAACTTTCGGGCGCCGCTCGCTGTGCTCGCCGGCGGTGTGTTCTAAAGCCGGCCTCACACACCGTACTAGTTCACGCTCGAAACGGAACAGCGGCTATATCCGTCGCCGCGACGCGCGCCGGAAAAGTCGCACGCGAAAACTCCTTCTCGTCGACGAGCATGAAA